CAACCAGTGTTGTCGTTGCGCATCAAGGCAGCAAGAAAGAGAACGCCACCGCACGAGACATCGCAGTGAGGTTGTATCCGGATAGCAACGTTGCCCGAGTGGAATCGGTCTCAAGATGGTCATGCCTCCAACAGCAGCGACAACGAACCCCGAGACGATCGCACGTGATTCTGTCGACCCAGTGAAGCGCATCAATCGAGCGATCGAGGCTCTGGACTGGCAAGCCGCGCAGGCCGCCCTAAACGTCATCGACAACGACGGCTTTTGGGTCTGCTCTGCGACCGAGGCCGACTGGGATCGCTACGTCGAGTCGGAAGAGCAAGAGATGAAATCGCGCCACTTTGAGTTTCGAGACGACTCAATTTACCTCATCGAGATGAGCGGTGGACTTCACGGCAGCATTGCGGATGGCATCGACGATGCCCTCCGCAATGCTGCCGTGAAGACCACCGGCCATCTCGATGAGGTAAATTGAGTCGTCTCGAAACTCAAAAAAGCGCGATTTCATCGCTTGGTCCTCCGACTCGACGTTGCGATCCCAGTCGGCCTCGGTCGCAGAGCAAACCCAAAAGCCGTCGTTGTCGATGGCGTCGAGGGCGGCCTGCGCGGCTTGCCAGTCCAGAGCCAAGATCGCTCAGGCTGGCGAAGTATGAACGCCAAGGTGCTGCGATACTGCGCATTTCCCGGCATTCGCTACGTGCTTTACGTCTTCGTCTCGCCCGACATGCAAGTGCGCCAGTACAAGCTTTTCTCGATCACAACACGAGCTGGAGGGGCCAGCCCCAGACCTCGTGCCTCCGATTCCGATTCCGGGCGACACTCGTATCGTGCTGGACAGTCGTCGGCTCTTGGCGCTGCCTAACGACAAGGCTCTTCCCGGGCGCTTTCCCGCCAAGTTGGTCCTTGATTTGAACCCGATCTTGGAAGACGCCTCGCTCGAGAATACGGAGTGATGACCTCGTCTCGTCTTGGACCCGACTCTGCGACCGTAATCAAAACAACATCTAGTTTGCCTTGTTATTCCCAGACGCTACCACTACTCTCACGTGTCACGGTGCCAGCCAAGGCGGTGATGCCCGCATACAGTTCGGTTGGGTATCCGATGCGCTATCTACTGCGCGATCGAGGCTCTGGATGGCGTCGAGACTGTGCTTGACGCCATGGGGAACGACGGCTTTGAGGTCTGCTCTGCGAGCGAGGCCGATTTCGTCGAGCTCGAGAACTGGCAACGCTTGAGCCACAAGGTCGTTCGTTCCGTACGGTCGCTTTCCAGGCATCCGCTACGTGCCCTGC